TAGGAATTGTAGGCTTGATAGCAAATCTTTCAGGGCACAGTAATCTGTTCATTATGATTATTTTTGTTCAGTTTTAAATTGCTGCAGTATAGTTTTTAATACCAAACAAATACACATGTTATATACAAACAAACATGGTGGTCTTTTCAGGAGTCTTTCACTTAACGGGAAGGGGGAATAATTAGATGTCTCTTTGCAGTACAGTATAGTATAAGACAGGAGTAGGAATGATCTAAGGGGAGGTGATAATTTAATTTATAACACTGAACATGCTGAACATAAAGTCTTGCTTGATTTTCTTTATCACGTTCTCTTCAAATTTTTCGGTGCCTGTCTTGAAGAAGTCACCCACATGAGTTAATAAGATTCCATTAATCTTATTGTTATAGACAAGCGTATGGTTGCAAGAAAGAAATACGACAACAGTAGAAATAGATTTATGTGATTTATTTCAATAGGAACGTGTGGTTTTGGGACAGCTACCTTGTGGTATAGTTCATAGCTGAAGATCTGGGTTGATCTCTCATAGTAGTTCTCGCTGGTTGCGTGACGCTACTGCTGCTGGCTGCTGCTACCTGCCCATCTGACCGTGACAGGTCTCTTCCCTGGCCTCCTGTTGACTGACGTTGTACTTCCGTGTGACCCCTTTTATGGTGATTTTTATGGCTTAACAGGCTCGAAAAATAACACGAGTATAATTAGGAGGGAAGCATTTTTATTGGTCGAAAAATAGAAACACTTTAAAATATTATTTTATTTTTCGACCAGAACTCGTGCATTGGGAACATGCGTAAATGAAGATAATGGTCATTTTGTGATGGGGCCTTGTCCCGTTCACATCCGGCTCTCGCTCTTGAGTATGTTACTTTATTTCCCTGTAAATCAGCCGAGATATGTCTTATTTTATTTTATAACAAGGCTCCCCCAGGTCTCGGTCTGATTTACAGTGAGTGTTATTCGTGAATATTTAGGTGATTAATTCATGATAAAGTCTCTGAAGCGTGTGGGAAGTTGTCCTCGTGTTCTTATTGGCATTTGTTTTGGTATGGAGTTATTTGCTGAATTATGTGCCCCAGAGGGATGTGGAGGAGAATGATCCTGGTGACTGTTACATGGTGGAGGCAGAGGGATTGTATTAGATAGATGTGTTGGGCATGGAGCCAGTCGTCGGATATGTGCACGGTGAATCCTCATTGTATCACCATTATCGTTTTTCACCTGACACATCATATTGTTCGTTTTTATAATGGTGTAATTTCCAATCCAGGGCAGATGAGAGGATTGGGCAACAGTTGAGTGTGGCCGATGAAGTAAAACCTTGTCGCCTACTTGTATTGGGTCCTTGTATGTGAGGCGATTTAAGTTAGTCTCAAGTTTGTGGTCAGCTTCATCGTTGGCCAGTGTGACGTGGTGGTGAACCTGCTTTAGCAGGGCATTAATTTGCATTCCATATGCTCCAGGATCGTCACTTGTGATTTCTTTTCTGTGTAGTGTAGGTAGGCCGATGTTGGGGTGACGGCCAGTAATGGCATAGTGCGGGGAGACATCGGTGGCGCTGTTGGTCGTGGCATTCATGAACGAAACGACAGCATAACATAAAATGCGTTCTTCATCGTGCGATGTTGTCTTTCGATATTTCCTGAGCTTTGCGGGCGCCAAGGACAGTGAAGTTCTTGCGTGATTGACATCTGGTTACAGAATTGTCGATAGACTTCTCCAGTGAAGTGTGTGCCTCGATCAGAGGATACTATGCGTGGAATCTCTCTGTGTCGAAGGAAGAACTGGTACAATCCGCGGGCGGCATCGATAGCACGGTCTCTCGCGCATGGTATGGCTGTAAAGTGTCGGCTGAAGCTATCCAAGATGGTTAGGATGTAGCGTTTTCCCTTTGAATTGGGCATTGTGACAAAGTCTATAAAGACAAGATCGAATGGTCTCTTTCCTCGTTTGCAGTAACCAATGGGCCAGTGGGTACGTCTACCGTAGTTGCCCTTGCACTTAGCACACGTGTCGCAAGAATTGACATAGGCCTTGATGTCGCGGTTTTTGAATTCTCACCAGTAGCTGTAAAGGAGTTCTCGCATACGGGTAACACCCGAGTGGTTGTTGCCCTCATGTGCCTGGTAGAGGTATCTGGATCGTAGTTTGTATGGTACAACCAATCTCGGAGAGTTTTTACTGTCTCTTATCATCAAAACGAAGGTGCCTGGTTCTAGAAAAAATGGTGCAAATGTTTTTTGAAAAGTGTAGCTCGGTGGTCGTCAGGATCGATATGAGGTTCGCTTGGAGTGGGTGACTGGAGGGCGCTGATGATCTTTGCCAGGGCGTTGTCCTTCATTTGCGATGCCGAGGTGGTTGTAGATTCTCTCAGTGGGGATGGTGGTGGTAGAGTGATAGGCGAAGAATGCGTTGGTGACGCGCTTGTGGGTGCGGGCGTTTTGTGGTGTGTGAGTTTTGGGAATGAGCTGTAAACCGCTTACCTCGAATGTCCTGCCTGCCGGTGTAGGGTCGTTCAGGGCTTTCGTTTTCTTATGTCTGCAACCTCTGCTGAGCATGCCAGCCCATACATTTGATTCGCCTTCGACATATTCTAAGACGAATTTATAACGTGAAATTTCTTCTTGCCATCGTCGTATTTTGACATTATTGAACTCTCGTTGGTCCAGATATGTCAGCGATCTGTGGTCGGTGAAAATGACGAAGGGGCGGTTGCAAAGGAAATAATCAAATTTCAATATTGCCCACTTTATTGCATATGCCGCTCGTTCCGTCGTGGACCAGTTCTGTTCCGTGAAGTTGAATGTATGGGAAGCGACCGCTATGATATCTTTCTTCCCGTTGTCGGCTTCTTGCATTAAGATTGCTCCACATGCGACGTCACTGGCGTCGGTGGTGAGTGTGAAAAGTTTGGAGAAATCCGGAAAAGAGATGACGGGTGGCGAAGAGAGACGGTCCTTGATTTTTTTAAAGGCTCTGTCGGCATTTTGCGTCCAGGTAAACGGTTTATTAACCTTGTTGAGTTCGTGTATGGGACCCATAAGTTTTGAAAACATATCTGACTTGATTTGTTCGTGAAGACGTGTCTTTAGGAATTGTCTGATCCACACTAAACGGCCGGTAAGGTTTTGTAATTTTTTTTTTTTTTTTATGTTGGAGGTTTCATTTCCCTGATGGCACGAACGTATTCTGGATCAGCCTTGAGTCCTTCGCTGTTTACTATGCGTCCGAGAAATTTTGCCTCTGATGCGAGGAAGGAACATTTATCTGGATTCAGCTTGAGTCCGAATTTTTGGAGGGCAGTAAAAAATTGTTCGAGGGAGAGTATGTACTCCCTAAATGTCCTAGCGTGGACCAGGTGGTCGTCGATATAAGAAGAAATGTTATCACGGGATGTGACCGTGGCTAGGGCTTCTGCTATGCAACGGGAGAAGATTTGTCCAGCAGATGTAAGGCCAAAGGCCAGGCGCGTGTATTGATAGCATTGGTCCTTCCATGTAAATGCTGTTTTGTATCGGTCTCGCTTGTCAATCTCAATTTGCCAGTAGCCGCTGCGTAGATCGAGGGTAGTGAAATATCTATTGCCTTTGCCGATTTTGTTGAACAAGTGGTCGATCCTTGGCATTGGGTAAGGGTCAAGATCGACTAAGACCTTGTTGAGAGTTCTTTTAAAGTTAGCGACGACGCGAATCGATCCGTTTTTCTTGCGTACGGCAAATACAGGGCTATTGAAGCCTTTGGGGTCGCTGCAGTTTTCAATGATACCTTCATCGGCCATGCGCTTAATTTCGGTATCAACGTCTGCTTCCAAAGCCTGGGCGATCGGGTGTTGTTTCTGGCTGCGAGACTGGCCGTTAGATGGGTCGGATGAATGTGCCTTTGCTGCTGCTTTCGGTGCCGATAACGTCAGCGTAGCGAATGAGTAAGTTTGCAGTGGCCTCTAGTTCGTCTCGGTTCGGGTGGTTTGGTAGCCATAGCCCAGTGTTATGCTTTAGCCAGGTTAGCTTTTGATCCAGTGTCTGGATGTTGGGCTGTAGTTCCATAGTAGGCTGGTTTTGGATGACTTCAGCTTGGGCGCCATATGCTGGATCGTTGGTTGACGATGACGGTGATATGATTGCGGCTGTGTGTGTTCTGTATCCTGAGGAAAGTGTGCGTCTGAATTCTATAGTCGCATTTTGGTTTTCGATTAGATAGGAATCGAGCGTGTTGTGACATAGGATATTCTAGCCGATCAGGATCGGTGTGGTTTGGGTAGTTACCAGCACGTTAACCTTTTTGAATGTGGGTGAGTCTCGACTGCCGATGGTGATGTCGCAAGTCAGTTCGCCAAGGGCAGTGGCCATGTGTTTCTTTGCTTCTCTGGGTGACTGAGATATTGGTAAGATGCATTGCGACGCCAGAGAAGGTGATGTCCCTGAAGTTGAAGGTGGACTGGACGAGCGGTGAATGGTGAGCGTGTCCTTGAAAGTTGAAGGTGTGATGGCTGACGTAGGGGCATGGCGAACGAGGCATCACATCTCGTCCTGCCCGAAGCGAAAATCCTGTTCCACATCATTTATGGCTTGTATATTATCATTCGTTGCGGCGATATGGGCCTGTGCCCGAGTGCGAGGTGGGTGGCGATATAGGCACTTGCGTCCATGGTGGCCCCGACCTCTGTAAATCAGCCGAGATATGTCTTATTTTATTTTATAACATTATTAACTGTAGTGAAAAAGATAATCGGGTACCCCGAAAAAAAGTTCGTGTTTTGTGTGCGATCTGCCGAAGAAAAATTACCAAAAATCAGTCAGCAAAAATCTACATCAATGACTAGAAGCTATGATAATGTTCTTCCCTCCCCTGAATGGCGTGGCCAATCAGAAAATTCTCTCGCTGAACAGAAGTCGTTGTTTTTCGCTTATAAAAGGAGATGATTTTTTTGAGCTGTGAAACGAACACGCGTTGTTGCGGTGGGGCACATGGTAAAAGAGTGCCCCGGGAAAAAAGGCCCAGCAGACTACAAAAGAGACTCCAGCAGCAGCAGCAGCAGCAGCAGCAGCAGCAACAGCAGTGACAGAGGTGGCTCCAACAAAGGAAAAAGCTGGCCTGGGAGCCTGGATGGAGGTGAGGAAAGGGGGAAAAGTGGCAGCTCCACCCTCTCCTCCAGTGCGACAGGAGAAGCAACAAGAACAACAAAAACCCCAGCAGCAGCTACAGCAGAAGCCCCAGCAGCAGCAAGAGAATCTTCAGCAGCAACAACCTCCTCAGCAACATCAACAGAAACACCAGCATCCGAAACAGCAACAAAAACTGCAACAACAAGAGCAGCAGAAACAAGAGCAGCAGAAACATCAAAAACTGGAACCACAGAAGCAGCATCATAAACAGCAGAAGCAACAAGGGCAGCAGCACCTCCACAAACAGAAGCAGGTGGAGGAAGAAACAACAATGGCGGTAGATAAAATGCCTCCACCACGAACTGCGTCCCTGAAAAGGAGCAGGGAGGAAGATCCAGAGGAAATAGAACAGTCTGGCCGAAGCAGGGAGGAGCGAAGCATGGACAGAACCAGGCGGCGCTCCTTCCCCGCTTCGCCAATAAGATATTCCAGCTCCCCCAAAGTTAGGGGCGTCCCTTCTTCCCTTTCCCGTGCTCCAACCCCCTCTTCCCCCATTACACCCCTAAGTTCACCGGCTACTTCCCCGCACGCGTCCACTTCCTCCCCTCCTCATCGTGCTAGGGAGAAGAAAAAAAAAGAAAAAGTACTTCCCGGGTCCAGATGGGATCTATAAAGTAGATAAGGAGGAGGCAAAAAAGGCCTGTCGAAACAAAAAAGGGCCCTTTTGGGGCTCCTATTTAAGCTTGACGAGGTAGATGGGAAATCGGTAGAGGATCCACGAAACTTCCCTAATGCTCCAGGTGTCATCACCGTCGTAAGAGACACTGGGGCATACTTGAAAGTGTGGAACCATATGAGGCTCGAGAAGCTTATCCGAAAATAAGGGTAATGGAAGAAAATAATGAAGACCTAAAAAAAATGAAGCATTTTTGCTCTGGGAGGGTCCCTGTTCTGCTCCATCCCTCTTTGTATAGGGCCATAAAATGAATTTACTCCACGGACGTTGGCGGCGTTGTCCTGGGTGGTCGCATGACGACCGAGTTGGGTACAGGAAACCTGGGACAATCCATCGGGGTCCTTACCGCTGCAGATTTCCGCCCTGTATGTGAATAGGTTAATTCTGGTTTTTATATTTTACAGGACTTAGAAGATGGAAATTAAGATAGCGACGTTGAATGCAAGGGGCTTGAGGGATCGGGGTAAGGCTGCCCGCCTGCTCCGGGACCTCTTGTCCTTTGGTGTGGATGTTGCCGCAATCGAAGAGACCCACTTTGTTTGCACTTCCGATGCGTGTGTGCTGGAGGATGACTTTGTCGTCTATTCAGCATATGGGAACCAGTTTGCCAGAGGAGTTTCTTTGCTTGTCAGACGTACTCTTGATGCGAAGATGGACCTTATGCATACCGATGCCGAGGGCCGGTTGATCGTGGCCGATATTGCCGTGAAAAGTGGTTCGTTCCGAGTCGTTGCGGTTTATGCGCCCAATGACCGGGAGGAGCGGGTCTCGTTTTTTCGGCAGTTGGGGCCGTTCCTAGTGTATTCGACGCGCCTAGTTTTAATGGGGGACTGGAACGCCATCCTAGACCCCAAGTTAGACAGGGGGCGGGGTGCTAGTGGGCGATCGTAGCCTGGTTGATCTGATCGACGATTATGGTCTTGTCGATAGATACCGGGTCGATAATCCCTGGGGGAAAATGTGGTTTGGGCTCTTAATTGCCCTTGTGACAAGGTAGTTAGCTACCTTGACAGAATGTTAGTTAGAAGAGCCACGTGGATCTTTTAGATTGTCCCACGTTCCACTGGGTAGGCTATTCGGACCACAAACTCGTTTGTGCCCGGATGGCGTTAGGAACTAGGCCTAGAATGGCTGGGTACTGAAAGTTCAATCTGGCCTTACTGGACAGGTGGGACTTCCAGGAACAGCTAACTAGATTAGTGCAGCGGGAACTAGTGGGGGCGGTTATCGGGAATAATCTCGAGCAATCTCTATCCTCCATTTTATGGAGGGGACGTGGGAATCGGGTCGACAGACGAGTCTGCACCTGGGAATGCTGCACCTGATGAGTCACATCCGTGCCTCTAGGTTGGCTTTCCTATGCCGCGCATTGACTGGAGGAGATCCGATTCTGGAGGGGATTGTTAGGGACGCGTTCCCTGGCCTTATCATCAGTCCCCGCATCATCAGTTAAAAAATTATAAGAAGGTCCAAAATATGCAATCCAGAACTGACATAGAGATGACACCTTTATACTCTGGCCACACCAGGAAGAGATCTAGCAACTACTGGACCATGTGATCTCAATAAGAGCATTGATACAGTTCACAACGAAGAGAGAAAACAACAACAAACTAGCATTCCTGGATGTACTAATATCTTGAACAGAGCATAGGTTCTAGACATGCATATACCGCAAGCCAACATTCACCTAAACTTAAATTCCCACCACCCATACAGTGTAAAGAAAGGAATTGTCCACTGCCTACAACATCAAGCAAAAGTCATGTGGCAACCCTGATACATATGAACAAGAAATAGTCAGTATAAGCAGTACCCTACAACATAACAACTATCCTGCATACATTACAGGAGCTTCCACAAACTGGAATATAAGGGTACAAGAGGATAACAACACTCAGAAAACAGTCTTGGTCTGTCTACCCTATGTGAAGGGATTATAAACAAAAATACAAAAGATCTGTGGCCCATATAACATCAGGATAACATTCAAAAGTGGTTCAACACTTTGCAGACACCTCTTCTGATTAAGACTTCCTATAGAGGAAAATATGATTAGTGTGTACACCATCCCATGCAGCTGTGGCAAGAAATATAAAGGAGAAACAGTCTGCCCTCTTAAGATAAAACTGCAGGAATGCCATAAATCCATAATATGAAGGGAAATAAAAAAAAATCAGGCATGGCTGACCATATATGGAAGGAAAAGGGAGATCACCATAATCTGTGGGATACGGTTCAGATAATAGAGAACATCACAGAAAAATATAAAAATTTAAGGAATCAATGCATATGCTGGATCACAAAAATCTTCTAAGTCAGCCAAGCATAGACATGAATGCAATATGGGAATCAGTAATACAGAGTGTTAAAGAAAAACAACAATAACAAAAACTACATGGTTACTGAGCCATATATATATATATATAAGTTGTAGCCTTTGTCTGTCTGTTTGTTTGTTATTGAACTCCTCCTCTGGTTTGGGAGATAGAGCCCCATAACCATATATATTCTGAAACTATGTTACCTGTGTGAGAAAACGGGGAAAAAAAAACAACTTCTTGCAACACAAAAACGAACGCCTTCTTGCGAACCTGAAACGAACGCCTTCTTGTGAACGAACACTTTATGACAGCAAATGAGCAAAACGGCACCCAAGACTGCTACTGACGGACGGACAACCACAACGGCTTTTGTCACCCAAGAAAAGACGCCAAACGACTCGCGCATCTTCTTCTTGTAGTCCTCAGTCGAGTCCATTATGGTACTCCAAGGTGTGCCCTGTGACAACACACACACGCAGTTCGAGGACGTTTCCGCGCATGTTCGTTACATTACCCAAGGTACTTGGATTAGTATATTTCATTTTGATCAAAGGCAGTCTCCATGGGTTACAAACTCTCAACTGAAATTTTTTTCCCTTTGATTTAAATTAAATTTAAATTTGAACAAAGGAATGACTCCTATACAAACTATAGAAGAAGAAAGCCAGAAAATGGAGGTCACATTGGCAAAATCAAAATGAGACAATATGGAGATCAAGTTGTGCAAGGAATCATCAATCAGTGGGTAGTGCTTTGCAATAAATATTTGTCATATTTGCTCATCAATTCATTCAATCAAGTATTGCATCAAATTGTTTTTGAACACCCCCCCACCTTACTGAAATTTTTTTCCCTTTGATTTAAATTAAATTTAAATTTGAACAAAGGAATGCTGCCTATCCAAAATACAGAAGAAGAAAGTCAGAAGATGGAGGTCACATCAGCAAGAACATTGAGTAATATTGAAATGCATCATTTTTGTCCACAAATTATAACAATGATTTAAAATCAAACATCATTTTCTTACAAAAAAGGTGTGACATGCATCAAAGCACAGGTAATTCAACTAGTTAAGTTTATAAGTTCCAAAAATTTACTCATGGCTCATTGAATAAAAGCGTTGGTTGAAGTAATCCAGTAATTTGACCCAAAGAGTTGTGAGTTCAATACCTGTCCACAGCAGAGGTGAACAAAAATTTGGAGCATTGTGTTACAAAATGGAATTAACTGAGACATCCAGAAAAAGGCATGGCATGTGCTATTAGAACAATCTACCCAGTGGACTAAATAATGTGTTCGGTTTGAAATTCAAATGTATGTCACCTGAAGACGGCTGGAGCATACATGGCCAAAATGTTGTGAATATGATAATAAAGATGAGAACAACAGTTTGAATAATGTAAATAATGTAAATAGTTATAAGACAGTTGCAAATTCCTTAAATGTTACTGTTATTTTTTGTCAATATGGATAAACTGATAATAATATTAATAATTTTGTATATCAATTAACTGTGCTGAATATATTTCTGTAGAAATTAATTTTCAACATCATTTATGGTTTTCAGAAAATCTTCCATTCAAATGATTACTATTTTATATTTTTTCAGTCCCAACATTTCTTTTTTCATAGGCTTTCAGATGATCATATTTCTCAGATATGTTTTATCATGTCTTCACTAGAGTGTGACTTGTTCATGTGATGGTTGGCTTGTGCTATACAGATGTTTTGAACCCATTCTCAGTGGGAATTATTAGTATATCTGTTGGGGCGCACCCACCTTCTAACTAGTAATGGACTGGTCCCTCTTATATAAGTCAGCTCTGGAGAGAGAGAAGCTTACCCGGTACATACCGTTGGACTATAGACAATGTTTCGTACTAACCAACCGGCGTTCTACTAATCACTATTGTTAATTGCTTTTATGAATATACCAGTATTTTCCTCTACAACTGTGTTTGTCTTGATTCATACACCGACACGCGGGAACCTCACAACATCTCAACAGTGGCGACTTGGCTTCGAACAGAAATAATAACCGATTTCCAACACGGAAAAATTTTAAAAGAGTTCAAGCATTTACAGCAAAGGATTACAAGTTATCGACAAAAAGAAAAAACTGTAAGTTAGACATTAACTTATTGATTAAATTGGAAGCTATAATAACCAATTTTTGTGCTAAAAAAAAAAAAAATTGTCGTGCCAGAAAATTTGAATTTTTTGGCCCCCCTCAGAGAGAAAAAAAAAACATAATTTTTCTTTTTTCTCTACACATACATAATCATGGAGCAATTTCAATCAACTATGCTGGAACTCATTAAGTATCAGATGCAAAGACAGCAAGAGAGTGAAGAACGTTTTCAGAAAGAGCAACTTAAAATTCAAGAAGAACAACTTAAATTTCAGAAAGAGCAAAAGGAAGAAAACGCAAAACGATTTCTGGAACTACACAAAATACAAGAAGAAAATGAAAAACAGTTAGCAATGGCCGAACTTATACATAAAACTATACTGTCCAAGCAGAAAGACTCTGATGAAAATATTTTTTCCAAAGACACAATATGGTCAACGATCGAAAGTTTTACTTATAACCCAGAAGAGGAAAAGACTTTCGAAAGATACTACCATAGATATCAGGATTTTTATGAAGTTGATTGCCAAACGTGGACAGATGAGAAAAAAATAAGATTATTGCTACGAAAACTGGGAACGGCAGAACACAAGTTTACAGATTTTATATTGCCCAAAAAGACAAGAGATTTAAAATTCGATGAAGCAATTGAATTATTAAAAGAGCTTTTTACTCCCAGATTTTCATTATTTCACAAAAGGTGGAAATGCCTGAATATCCAAAAAAGCGAGGAGGAAGATTACACAACGTTCGCGCCAATCGTAAATAAGACGCGTGACGATTTTCGCTTGTCCGAATTATCGGCAGACAATTTCAAGTGTCTAATATTCGTGCTAGGCTTAGTGTCTAAAAAAGATAGTGAAATGCGAAGACGCATTTTAACAAAACTAGAAAATGACCAAAACATGACACTAAAAAGCTAGCTGAGTACTGTCAGCAATGCGTAAGCATTAAGCAAGATTCAGAAAAAATAGAAGAAACTGCTATCGCAAATGTGAAGAAAGTATATAGGAAGACTAGTTTCAGTTCTCCATCGCCGGAACGGAAGTGGTATCCTACTACAAGAACGAACAGAGGCTATAGAAAAAAACCCTCCGAGTGCATGTTATGGATGTGGCCAGTGGCATTGGTACAATGACTGCCCATATAAAAAATAAAGCGTGCAGAAATTGCAAAAAGTAGAACATAAGATGTCAAAGTGTAGAAAATTAAACAGAAGTCGAGTAAAAGTTACCAAGTTAGACGAAGATCAAGACCTGAATATTCGAAAATACCTGCATGTAAAAATGTACAACAAGGTAAAAATGCAACTAGATTCAGGATCTGACATTTCAATCATTAACACGCAAACATGGAAAAATCTAGGAAAACCAACGTTGCTAAAATCCAACAAAATAGCCAGGACGGTAACTGGAAAAAAGATAAAATTTGAAGGGGAAATATGGGTAAATATAACTTTCAACAATAAGTCGATGAAAATGTTTGTAATGAAAAACACAAACAACCTGTTTGGGACTGGCGCAATCACTAAGTTCAACCTATGGGACGTGCCCATTAGTTCTTTTTGCCACAACATGAGTGAAAGCAAAGACCATATAAAAAATCTACAAGCAGAATTGAAAACGGAATTCCCCGAAGTTTTTGCTGAAGGACTTGGACGTTGCACTGAAGCATCAGCAAAAATACAGCTGAAGAAAAATATCCAACCAATTTTTAAAAAAAAGCGTAGCATCCCTTTTGCCGCATTAGAGAAAATTGATCAAGAACTCGAAAGACTAACGAGAATTGGTGTGATCTCGAAAACAGAATACAGTGACTGGGCAGCTCCGGCTGTCTACGTAAAGAAGTCGGGCGAAATTCGAGTCTGCGCCGATTTTTCAACCGGGTTAAACGACGCAATAGAAGAGTTTCATTATCCACTACCAAGTCCCGAAGAAGTGTTCGCAAAGTTAAATGGCGGAAAAATCTTTTCGAAAATAGATCTTAGCGAGGCATACTTGCAAGTACCCATGGATAACGAAAGTGCAAAGTTACTATGTATTAACACACATAAAGGCTTGTTTAGATACGAACGGTTACCGTTCGGGGTGAAGACAGCACCCGCAATATTCCAGAAAATTATGGATACGATGTTATCCGGGTTAGACTACACAATAGCATATCTCGACGATATTCTTGTAAAAAGTGAATCGGTGGATGAACACAAACACCATTTACGCAAAGTTTTCGAAAGGTTAAGAAGATATGGATTTCGAGTGAAAGAAAACAAATGCGATTTTCTCCTGGAAGAGATCAAGTATCTGGGACATATAGTGAATAAAGAAGGGAAAAAGCCAGATAAAAGTCGAGCTTCAGCAATAAAAAATATGCCTGAGCCAAAGGATATTAAATCCCTACAAAGTTTTTTAGGCTTGGTGTCATATTACCAGGACTTTATCCCAGACCTCCACATTCTACGAGCTCCCCTTAACGATCTACTAAAAAAAGAAAAACCTTGGATTTGGACAAAAGAATGCGAGCAAGCATTCAAGGATTTAAAAGAAAAATTAACTTCAGATCTATTTCTTGTACATTTTGATCCAAAGGTCAGATCGGTTTTTGACAAATTGATACCAGAAAATAAGGTACACTCAACAGTCGCTATGGTTCCCAGGCAAAAATTTAACATTAATGAAAATTTTTTCAAAATTATACAAATAATGCAACATCATGGGAACCAGGGTCATAAAAACGCATTGGGGATATGGTATACATTATACAAGGAAACAAATTTACACACAAACGGCACATTAACCAGTTGAAGAAAAGAAAGACCGACGAATCGGAAGTAATTCCACAAGAAGGCAAATTACACGAATTGTTTGATACGTTTGACCTGCAAATACCGCAGACTGAGCAGAAACAACGCAGATCTGCAAGAAAACGTAAAGCGACACAAAATTTAATAATAGACCCGAAAAGGAAAAAATATTAATTTTTTTTTTTTTTTTTTCCCCACAATGAAAAAGAAAAAAAAAACATTTTAGGGGGGGTGTTGGGGCGCACCCACCTTCTAACTAGTAATGGACTGGTCCCTCTTATATAAGTCAGCTCTGGAGAGAGTGACAGAGCGTCAGAGAGAGAGAGTCAGCGTTAGCAGTCCAGATAAGCTTACCCGGTACATACCGTTGGACTATAGACTTTGGATAATGTTTCGTACTAACCAACCTTCGTTCTACTAATCACTCTATTGTTAATTGCTTTTATGAATATACCAGTATTTTCCTCTACAACTGTGTTTGTCTTGATTCATACACCGACACGCG